TTAGTTGAAAGAGATCATTATAATGAAAACATACACGCCGATCCTGAAGAAGTACATCCCCAACTGAACGAAATACTTTTCGCAGACGACCAAAGCATAATTCATGAAAACGAAAAAGAACTTCAAATCCACGTAAATGCGCTACACACAGTCTGCAACGAATATAACATGAAGATCAGCATCACCAAAACAGAAATTCTGAAAATAAGTAGAACACCTAATATACTAACTATTCAAGTTAACAACGAACAACTCAAACAAGTGCAGCAATTTAAATACTTGGGGAGCATCTTCACAGATGATGGAAGAATTGATAGGGAACTTGAGGCAAGATGTCAAAAGGCGAACGCAGTAACTTACCAACTCTCCCCACTGCTAAAACACCCAAGCATCACTATGGCAATAAAACGACAACTGATAAATTGCATATTTATACCAACCCTCTGCTACCAATGCCCAAACCTGGTCCCTAACAAGAGCACAGGAGAAAAGATCGCGACGTGCGAAATGAGATGCTTACGTAAGGCTGCCAATGTCACAAGGAGAGACAGAGTTCGAAACGAGAACATTAGATCAATTGTAGGAACCACACCATGCCTGCAATACATAAAGAAGCAACAAATCGAGTGGTTTGGCCACTTGATGCGAATGCAAACCGACCAACTGCCTCTACGAGCATACAACGAACAACACTACTGCCCTAGAGCAAGAGGCAGACCGAGAGTACGATGGATAGACAATATATCAGAGATCCTGAGGCAACACGGACTAACAACAACACATGCAACACACCTGGCCCAGGATAGAAAACTGCGACTCCCCACTACGCTGTGAGGCAATTGTGGACAAGACAAGAGAGAGAGAGAGTGGGTGAGAAGACGTATAGAGGAGATAACTGTGAGAATCCGTGGGTTTGTAGTAGGCTGTGGTCTTTAGACACAGGAAATGGAAGCTAACAGTGATGTCAAGAAAGTTTACTGAAGTGGTGAAGATCAGTGAGGTGAATTTGATAGCCGGATTGAAATTGTTGATGTAGGTAATAAACTGGTCAAGCTCAACCATGGACATTTCGGCGATACCAACGCCTTCATCTATGTATCTCCTATAAACCTCAGGAAATTTGCCCGGGTATGATAAACTGACCTCATATTCTAGGTGGCCCATAAAGAGGCACGCATAACTGGTACCCATCTTGGTACCCATCGCGACCCCACTGATCTGGTCGAAATATTCACCATTGAACTCAAAAGAGTTAAGGGTCAGTACCAGTTCGGCAAGGCGTATAAGAACTGCAGTAGGGATGATCAGGTTGGACCTTCTGTCCAAAAAGAACTGGAGTGCCCTAAGACCATCAGAGGGAGGGATAGACGTATAGAGGGAGCATACGTCTATCAGGAAAAGATTATAGGTTTTACCGGGAAGTAGCCTGATGGATCCGAAAATGTTGAGGGCATGGTTGGTGTCCTTGACAAATGAAGGGAGACTGGTGACAATCGGTTGGAAAATACTATCTAAAAATTCAGAAAGATACACCGTGGGACAAGAGCACGCAGATACAATGGGACGTCCAGGGTTGTTGGGCTTATGGATCTTAGGCAGCAAGTACATACACGGTTTGCCGTGGCTGTCAAAAACACCCATATTGTTGGCCTGCTTGGAAAGAGTACCCTGTGAAATAAATGATTGTAACGTGTCCTTGACTTTCTTATTATTGGAGACTGGGATCGTCCCTTCTGGCGGAATAGAAAACGGGGTTTTCGAGTTGGGTACTGGCTTCCTCAATATAAAGATCCTTCCTTCAAACCACTACAGCGCCCCCTTTGTCAGCTGCTTTTATAACAATATCGTCCTCTTTCTGAGGGAGAAAAGTGCCCGCCATTCACCTTTGGAGAGGTTGGATTTAGGTAAAGACCTTTGTTCCAACTGTAGGATAGTATGGAGCGTGTAGCTGATGTATAGATCAAGCACCCTAGATTTACCAGCAGGAGGAGTTCACTGTGAACAGGATTTGTTGGCCGTTGAAAGAAATGTAGTTTCGTCAACAGGCACAGTAGGGGCGGGTGGCTGACCCCAGTGATGATGTTTCAGGCGTAGACTGCGATGGAAGGAGTGTGCATCCTGGAGGAGAGTGTATTTGTCAGCACGTGGTCTTAGAGGGACAAATTTCAATCCTTTACTAAGGAGTGAGCATTCCATCATTGGAGAGAGGTAGGTCGGGAAAGGGGGGGGGGGGGGGGGGGTGCAAACCACAAGATTTTGGGCTAAGGCTGGATTAGCAGGTGCTACAAAGGATTGTGGGGGCCGGAGGCAGTTCATTTTATTCTTCTTGGTATTGGTAAGGAAAGAATACCACTCCTGATTGGTGGTGTGAATAGTAGAGCGGATGATCAAATAGGCCAAACTGTTGTTGGCCAAGAGCCTACGTAGATTGTAGACTAGAATATCAATCTGTCCACCCAGTTGTTGGAGGTGTTTTCGTGTGCATCTAATATGCAACGCATGCGAAGATATGCCCATTTCTCCTCGATTCTGGCCAATGGTTGGCTGTAGTTCAAGGATGGCGGGCCCACTAAAGGATGGAATTTGGTGGTGAAACCTTTCGGTATAATTTTTGAACGTAAACGTTGTTGTAGAAAATTCCGATGAGATGTAACGCTCGATTTCTTAAAAGTGGTGAAAGCGAGATTTTGTTTTTTTAAACGTTGCTCACGTCACCCCTTAGAGATCTACATACTCTCCATTCCTTGTTTGTGTAGTTCACTTATGTTTAAAAAAGGCTCCCCGGCTGAAACGTTACATTGTGTTTTGTTCACGTTTATCTGCTTCCCCATTTTGTTGAACTATTTAGTCAAATTTTTCTGGAATTCCTTGTATAAAAGGAATAAGCTTGACTGCAGTCACCCCCATATTTTCACCATTAGTTTGCTTAACTGTATCAGATGCTATTTTTTTCATCCATTTTACCCTGTTCCCAGATATTTAAACTAAGATACCTTAATTAATGTTTAATTAATGCCTTTGCACTCTACTGCTATGTTTAGGTTCTGCTCCTTTCTTCCTGTTGACACTACTTCCATCTTTTCAGTGTTCGTTTACATATGATTTGTTTTTACATTCTTCATCCATGGATGTGAGATGCTGCAATTTCCTGTCTGTAAATTCTATCAAGGAAAGGGAAATTCATTGATGTTACTAATATTTTCAATCCTGGGCTTGGCATCCTTGCATATAGTGTCAGTGCAGATAATAAACAGCAATGGTATAAGACACATCCCTGTCTTAAGGTGTTATTGTCAGTGGTGTAGATTTGTTTTAACTATGTTCTCCAATCCCTGTATAAACTTTTGTACAATCTGATGTATTTGTTCACTCCATATTGAGCCATTACTTGTCTGTTGACTCGTTGAATGCCTTCTCCTGGTCTGGAATACCACAGTAAGTTCTTATCGTATTCAGTATTCTTTTCTGTTAACTGTTTAATGTGGACATTACATCTGTGCAGCTTATTTTTCTCCTAAATCCTATCTGTTCTTCTGCCATCTGTGCTTTTACCACTGGTCTCAGCCTTGTTTCTGTTATATTGGCATATATTCTGCCAAATGACGTAAATGAGAGATGCCTAGGTATTGACTGCATTCTTGCTTACTTCATTTGTTCTTACATAGTGGTATAACTTTGCTTGTTGCCAGTTTATTAAAGTAGTTTATTGTAAACATGCTGCATTAAGTATTCTGTGAAGCCATTTGATGTTTCTTTCACCTGCTCAGTGAATTATTTCTTTTTGTAATCTATTGGCTTCTGGTGCTTTATATTTGAGAGACTGCTTAATGACTTTTGTGCCTGATGCATGCTTCCTACAAATGTAAAAGTGCCCTGGGGCATCCACATAAAAGGTACCATTGTAAAGAAAGAAGTTTATTGTTAAGGAAGTGAGATTTCCCTTTGTGCTGGGAATCTGAGTATTGCGTCTGCTAACTGTTTGCTGAGGATCCCTAAAGGGTGTTGCCCGGAGTGAGTGGAAGGCTCTATATACAGATGTGAGGTCAAGCAGTCATGTGCAGGAGATATGATGCCTTGGGTAAGCCCAGTACCAGAGCACTATATGTTGTCGATGAATTTATTAAAGTCTCCTTGGATGTCTACTCTTGCCTTCAATCTTGATGTAGCTGCACTGCACGGTTCCTATAGGAACAATACCAGTGGATCAAGGGATAACTAAATCACCACACATCTAAGGCTACATTTGTCCCAGGAAATTGATCTGAAAGGCTAATCTGAATAACAAATTCATAATAAAGTATGATGTGTTGGCTGGAAGGCACAGATGTCACAGCCAGGCTTTAAACCGGCACAACATATTGACCTCACTCAGAAGTATGATGAAGAAGAAGAAACTAAGCCTATTCTTAACAATCATCTTTACCTTTTAGCTGCTTTCACAGTTCTGCATATACCCACATCATCCAGTGCTCACAACCTAAAACCCACCAAATCTTTAATGAAAACCCTAATATGGCCTACACAAATGACCACAACTTGAAGGACATACTGCCTATTCTGATCCATACAGCATTTATTTAGGCACTGCAGATGCAACCACACTTGTTAAATAGTTCTTTTTGTCTTTCAGACTCAGGTTAACTCTCAAAATGGCATGTTTGAAATTAATAAATGCAAATTCCACTATCTAATTTATTCCTTAAAAAAAACAAAAAACAGAAGAAGCATTGCATACATTGGTAAAATAGGAAGATAGTGGGTCATTTAAATAATAGTATCCACCTGCTTTTTGTCTGACATTTATCCCTTCTCTATTCTTTCAGTTAAATAAACACACACACACACACACACACATGCACGCATGCGCGTGCACACACACATATATATATTATATATGGGATATATCAAGTGAATAAAAGTAGCAGGATAGTCAGAATATTTGTACCCGAATATGACTGTCATGAAGCATGTTTTGATCAGTTATGTGTGTTCTTACTCAGAACATTGAGCAACAAAATGAAGCTTACAAACAGGAAGTGGAGACAGTGCTGGCTGGCTTACCCAGAATTCAAGGTGATGGAGTGGAGTTCAACAACGAAAAAGGTAATTTTTGTTTAATCAGCAGTGGTGTAGAGTTCTCTTTTTTTCTAGCGAATGCATTATGTGCAGTCTCTGGAGGGCATCGAAGACAGTGAAACATCCTAAAATATTGTCTTTCAAGTGAAACATTCTAAAATATTGTCTTTCAAGTGAAACATTCTAAAATATTATCTTTCTCCTAGCCTTGCTGGTTAAAGGAGAGGATTTGGGGTTTGTTCACATCTGAATCCCCACTGTTAATAAATTGTATATTTAAATTTACTAAAATATACTTGCAGTTGCTCACTGACCTAAACTGTTGATATAAACTTCAGAAGTCTGGTGAAACATTAACATCTATGACATTTAATTTGGAAAAGTACTCTAATCATGGGACTGGATGAGGATATAAAACAAAAGGTCCCAGATTGACATTGTAATAAATTGTCCACTCATCTGAGGTTAGTGCTTCTTGGGTCATCTTCTGGCTCAGCCTCGGAGACACTTTAGGCAGGTCGAATCTAGTCCAGTCTAGACATTCTGACAACTGCAGCGACACTGGAACTCCACCTAGCACTTCCACCTGGAACTCCACGTGAAACCCTGTCTGATTTCGAACAGGCAATGGCACTGCAGTTAAGAGCACATGCTTGTTCACCTTGTGTCTCTGTTTAAAAAGGAAGTGGGATGGGCTAAATAAAAAAAACGGGGAAGTACTCTGTTTCATCTTCCCAATTCTCACTCTTATCACTGTATAGTTACCTCTTTGAGTCCCAGGGAGTTTAGCATCAGAGGCTCAGGGGTAGTCGAGAGAGAGGCAAAATCGACACATTTGAACCTATGAACGTATGATGCGTTCCTAGGGACTCAAAGATTTAAGAAATTTTTAACATTGTTATTATGAAGCAATTAATAGGTAAGAAACTGTAGTCCAGACCAGCTCAGCACACCAGCACACATGGTCAAAGTCAGTTATGCTGATAATATTTTTTTAACCTCACAATCATTCATTTTTTTTCCTGAGCCACATACTCATAATTACAAATATTCATATTCTTGACAAAAATTCTTCATTGCTCCCAATTGTTTTGGCTACTGTTTCATTATCATTCTCATGCTTGTAGAAAAATAGATCATTTAATGAACAGCATGAGTTTACAAATATAATTTTGTCAAAGTTTTCAGTATCCTCTGCTGTGGTCTGTTATTACCAATTATCAGTTAGTAACAATAAAACATGTCCTTGCATAATGTGTCCCTTGTTCTTACCCTAATTTGAACCAACTATGATATATATATATTTTTAAAATTCTTTATAACAGTCTAATTGGATACATGTTAGTTTCATTTTTAAAATCTATAAAAGAATGTAATTAATTGGACAATCTTATGTTTCTGTTTACTTAACCATTCACATCATATTAATACTGCATTCAAATTGAAAGCATTTATACATTCTTTAGTCATCTTTTATTCCTAAAAATATCAATTTTGGCTTTAGAATCTGTGATTATTTTGTTGTTTGAGAATATCATATCCATTATGAAGACATCCACGATTCGTGTTCACTGTTTTCTCAAACAGTATTATACTCACATTAAAGTCATTCACATTCAACCTGAAGTTATTAACATTCAGCTTGAAGTAATTCCTATTCATCTTGAAGTCGTTCACATTCATCGTTGAGTCATTCACATTCAACCCTGAGTCATTTACATTCAACCTGAAGTCATTCTGATTCACCATCGAGTCATTCACATTCAACTTGAAGTTCTTAACATTCAACTGGAAGTCATTCACATTCAACCTGAGGTAATTTACATTGAACTGATAGCATGAAAATTCGAATTATTGATGTATTCCTCAATCTGAATCCGTAACATTTGTATACTTGCATTCTTGCAGCTACCAATGAGTATGTCAACCTGAGTTTGGCTGTTCTTGACCTTCTGGTTGAAGGTCTTCAGGAGAGTGATCACTGGATCTGTAGAGAGAGGGTAGTTAAGTCCATGCATGCAGTTTTAGAGAAAGCTCTCAACAGGTGAGTGCGTTATATAAATATACTACTGTATACATAATTTATTTTAAACCTTACGCTGATGTAGCAGTTTAGTTATTGACGAATGTTCCGAGTCATTTGATTGTTTCACCATTATTCTCCAACCCACACATAGAAAATTAGGAAAAATTAGGATTGAAAAGAGAATTACTAAGTGACTTAAAATTTAACTCGAGAAACACCTTGGACATATAAAGAAACATAGTCTGCCAAAAACAAGGCTAAAGGGAAATATGGAATCTAAACAAAGTTAATTGGACAGAATATTTAAAACTGGATGATACATGGACATGAAATAGGATGTTAGGTTGCACCATTATGCATCTGATGTAGAAAACAGGAACTTAATGCAGACAAACCTTACAATTTAAAATGGCAGCTGATTTGGCCTGTCTTGTTGATGTAACATTTTGTGTGTGCTAGATTTTTAATGACTTTAAGTCATCTGTCATTTAGCATATAACATATCTTCTTTCTTCTCACTTTTACCAGGTTGGAGCTCAATGTCATGGTTTTCTGTATTTGTCTTGCACTTGTCGAGCAGCTTTGGTGATGGATTTATTCATCTTTTTGCAGGTTTCAGCTATACCATTATCATTCTCTTTCTTGGTCTTCCCCTCTCTGTTCTGCTGTTTTTCATAGTGAAGATTAGTACAGGCATCAAGTTACCCAAAATATAAATCATAGCACGCATGGTTTTTGCTAACTGCACCAGCAAGCTGACCCTGGATTCACTGCTCAGGCTTGTCTGTATTTTTATCCTAACGGTGCTGATGCTATTTTTATGTTGGTTGTTGGTTTTGATTCTGTTTTTCTTCGTTCTAGAGACCATTACACTGAAGTAGTAACTATTGGTAATGACTGTCTCAGTCTTTTCCTAACAGTTGAAAGTATGAGGGGAAGTCAATAAGTAAGTCACAAATAGTTGTTTAAAAAAAAAAAATTAAACTAAGAGGATAACAATTTGAAAACCATTTATTTTTACACATAAACTGTCCCTGTATTTTTCAACATAATTTTCAACCATCATTTATGCACTTGTTCCATCGTTTTATCAGTCCTCCTAAACCTGCTGCTAGAACTGCATGCTCTGTTTTCCAACCCACATTTTCACTTCACGTGATCTTCTGCATCATTCACAAAATGTCCTCCGGAAAGGTGGGTTTTCAGCGGACCAAAAAAGATGGAAATCGCCAGGGGCTAAATCTGGGCTGTAAGGTGGATGTTCCAGAAGTTCCCATCCTAGATGGGTAATTTTCTTCTGAGTTAACCAAGCCGCATGTGGTCTGGCATTGTCATGAAGGAGCAGTACTCCTCTAGCCATCAGGCCTGTACATTTTCTTCAAATTGCATCCTGAAGCATTGATTGAATGAACTTTACAGTATGAATCAGCATTCATATTGTCACTTCTTTTTCTGAAATTGGTTAAAAGCACTCCTTGACAATCCCAGAACACTGTCAGGATAACCTTCCCTCCTGATGGCATAACCTTAAATTTTTGAAACCAAGGTGAAGAAGGATGTTTCTATTGCATTGAAGCCCACTTTGATTCCGTCTGGTAGTGATGCACCCAGCTATGCACCGCTATACAGAATAAACATTTGTCAACATAAACAGAAAGCGTTTTCTTTTAAATGTCCTTTGTCCTCCCCCCCCCCCCCCCAAAAAAAAAATGCAAAACAGCATTTGATTATTTTAGGGCACACTCTGTAAGTACAGTCACCATTTTGTTTCTGAGTTGGGGTAGCAAGGATTGGCATGTACTGATCCCACCTAAAAAAAATGGGAAATACCTGCGTGGAACTCATAGTCTCTGCCAATCTGCGACCTGTTGTAACAAACAGGGCTCTGGAGCATAGCGAGTCTCCACTGCTAACAAAATGGACCCCCGATGCCTGAAGTGGTAAAATACCAGGCTATGGCTGGGGTAAGCCAGACAGAAACCCTCGGTGGAATGTGACCCCCTTCCCCCCAGCTGATGCTGGGCGCACTGGCCTGTGGACATGTCCGGATCCCCACCAAGGTCACACCACCTTGGTAATAAAAGGTGGAGAAGGGAAACTCCCACAACCTCTGAGCTCTGGCATGCAGTATTTGGATGAACCAGGACACTGATGGGGTGACTCCGTAACTTCCCCCACCGAAGATGGACATGTTGGTTTGAATGATATGGGCACCCAGAAATGGAAACGGACGTCAACACAATCTATGGTTAATGAGTATGCTTAGAAACCTAGACTATATGGGGCTGCTGCTGTGGTCTGCTGCCAGGCGAGAACAGCACCGGATTCCGAGCCTTGAAGTTATCCACCCTAAACTACTGATGGTAGCTCTACGCATCAGCGGACCAGGATTAAGCAGAGAAAATGTGTCTGGCCAAAAAAATACCAAAACACTAAAGATAATGCAGTGGAATGCAGAAGTGAAAATGATAAAAAAGCTTGAACTGCAAACAATTCATCTATGAACACAAGATTGATGTTGTCTGTGTTCAGGAAACCCATTTAAAATACAGGCTCTCACTTTTCTCATAGGCTATGAAACATATAGGCTAGACAGAGGTGGTCACAAAGGAGGCATCATTACATTATTAAAAAATACTATTGCAGCTAAAGAAACTTCCAGAAGCATCAGTGAGTCTGAACATCTAACTGTAAAACGACATATCCTTCCAGAGCCGCTATACGTTACTAACTTCTACTGTCCCAACAACAAGAAATTGGAACAAGGGGACATCCCAGTAGCTGATAAGAGCCACCTATTTTTCTGTGACTTTAACAGTCACTCCCGTAGTTGGGGCTATGCTTCTATGTACACAAGAGGAGAAGAGGTAGAGTAATGGATGGTAGAAAACCTGCTGATACTAATCAAAGAACCTGACTCTGAATAAAACCTTCTTCTCTAGACAATGGTGAACACAGTACACCAGACCAAGCTATAGCTACAGAAAACATCAAGCAAAGGGTATACAGTGATGAAACAGCTGGGAGAAAGTAATCACAAACCTGACGTCGTCATGATAGGAGAAATCAAGCCGCCAGAAAAACAGGAAGAAGATAGCCAGCTGGAACTATAAGAAAGCAGACTGGGACCTCTTCAAAAACTTAAGAGAAGCTATCGGAGCCCTTTCCCACTGATGAGGTTAGAAAAAACACAACTGTTAGCAGTAACATACTCAAAGCAGTTCAAAAATCAATTCCCTGAGGTGGAAGGCAAAACTGTGAACTCTTCTTGACCCAAGAACTGCAACAACTGCACCAAAGAAGCACTGAATCAAGAGTAAAAATGGAACAAGATCCCTAGGACCTCAACGTAACAGAACACAAAAAACATCAGGCTATTTATAGAAGAGAAAAAACTCACATGCATCCGGACAAGATGGCAAGAAAAGACTACAGCTCTCAGCATGAAGAAAGATGGTAAAAAAAAAAGCAATGGCATCTAGTAAAGTCTAATTGAGGAGAATAATGCCAGCCATGTCAACACTGCTGTTGAAGATGGTGGGAAAACTTTCACTGGTAAACAAGCAGCAAACCTGCTGGCTGATAGTTTTGCAGAGGAAAGAAAAACTTTTATGTCTACAGCGAGAGAAGTAGAAGTGACGAGAGAACTGAGGAAAATCTACAAAAAGCAAGAAGATAATGAAGATATAATGAATAAACTCTTTAGTCCCCAAGAACTTGAATGCGCATTAAGAAACCTTAAGAAAAAGAAGGCACCTGGACTTGATTGAATAACTAATTAAATTATAGTACACGTGGGACCAGCTGACTCCTAGACCTTATCAATTAATCCTGGACCCAGGGTTCCGAAGGGATGCAAGGAGGCAGAAATAGTCCCCATAGCCAAGAAAGGAAAGCCCAAGGAAAACAGATTACCACCCCATAAGCTGCCTTGAAAAGACCTTGGAAAGATTAGAGAACAACAGGTTACTTATTTTCCTGGAAGGAAACAAGATATTGGATGACAGCCAGTCAGGCTTCAGGGGATATAAAAGCACTGATGACCAGACCTCTTATCTCGCACAGGAAATTGAAGATGCTTTCCAGAAAAAACAAACTGCTAGATACTTTCTTCAACCTGACCAAAGCTTTTAATAAGATCTGGAAGAAATTACTCTTTCTAAAACTAGCACAAAATGGGATAAAAGGGCATATGTTTACCTAGATTAGAGACTTTACAGATGCTGTGCGAGAGTCATACTAGAAGAACACAAGAGCAAGCTGGTCAGATTACAAGAAGGTGTCCCCCAGGGATACCAGTGGTTATCTCCTACCCTGTTTATCCTTTTCATCAATGACCTCCCAAAACAGTTCCCGACTCACATTCACAAGGAACTACATGCAGTTGACCTGGCCATATGGACCCAAGCTGAACATAAAGGAACAACTAAAACAAGAATGCAGGAAGCTATAAATACAGTTTAGTGGCGCGGTGATTTCGGTCACAGGCATGAGGCAAAGTTAAGTGTGATGTGATGTGTTTAAGGAGATACTCCGTACCCCACTCGGGCGCCAGTCCTTCACTGTTCTGGTTTTACGGAACCTCATGCAAGACTCCTGCTGCACGTCCCTGTCATGCGCCACGAATAATGTCTCAAATGATCATTAACAGAGTTGGCAGGGGATCTCGGAGCTGGCGGCCCCTAGAGGTGTAGTGTCCTTTCTGGCTCTCACCAGCCCGCCCCCAAATGCATGGGTGAAAAGTTTAACAAAACTCAAGGATTGCTTGCTAAATGTACCATCAAATGACAACTCATGGTTAAAATTCAGGAGCGAATGGAAAACTGTGCTGCTGAGACTCAACCCTGACCGAGAGATTTACCCGCAGCCAAGACGAGTAACATCTTTTGTGGGCGACTTCTCGCAGCAACATCCTACCTACGTACATCCTCTGTCAATCCTCAGTGTCGTCGTCACCGCGCTGAGGTACATACACCACGGCAGCAACTTCTCATATGCTGGCTAGGAAATAATGTCCAACAAAGTTATACCCCATGGCACACATGCAAGATCAAAGTCCGATGATCGTAATTCGTACCGATTAGGAAAAAGTCCAAATGTCCACTGGTCCCACTCGCCCGAGTGTTGGGACCAAACAGGTGAAGCCACGCCTGACACATTTTGCTTCCCCATTCTGTCGTGCTAAGGGCACAGCTGAAACAACGTTAAAGGTGTCTAACGTACGATGAAAAAAATGTACCTATTTGTGTGGCCAAAAGTCCTGGACCTGCGGGCTGCTCCCCGCTGATCTCCGGAGAGCGCAGCCTTGTAGCGCGGGAAGCTCAATACACGGTTGTGAGGTTAAGCAGTCATGGGCAGGACGTGACGATTCCTTGGGTGAGCCCAGAACCAGAGCATCATATTTCAGCTCTGCATTTATGGAAGCCTCCTTGGATGGCGGGGAATGCCCATGATTTGCCCCTGCCTTCCCTTGAGGGCTGACAATTCTACCTAGAGCTGCCTTAAGGACGACATTCCGGGAGCCACACCTGTTAAAGGTCAAAGAGGACACCACACAAATGAGGCAACATCTCGACCCACAAAAAAAAATGGCCACAGTTAACCTAGAAATAGGCTTGACGTCATCTGCCGGAGAGGCGGGGAACGAGAACTGCAAACAAATAAGCCAGTAAAACGGATGTACACGCAAAACTCAGGTCAAGGTAAAAGCCAAAAGTCCATTTGGAAGAACAACCGCGACTTACCGCCGGAATTCACAGCCGGTGAACAAGAAGAAGAAGAAGAATACAGTTTAGAAATAGACATACTTTTAGGGAGTCACAATAAACCAGAAAAAAACTGTCTCAACTCTTTTTTCTCTTTCCACGAAGCCAGAACAAGTTGATCTCTATCTAGAAGGCAGTATCCTTCCAAAAGAGGATAACCCCACATATTAATATAATATTCGACAAAAGACTAACCTAGGGCCCCCGCATTGAAGACACCCAAAGAAAAGCTACCCTGAGTCTCAGATTTATGAAGAACTGGAATAAGCTGAAGTGCAAATGCCAACACAGGATACATACAACCAAAACTAGAGTATGGCATGGAAGCATACTCCACTGCAGCCAAATAAAACCTACATAAACTGGACAAAATACAGAAAACAGGTCTCAGAATCAAAACAGGAGGAATGAGAAGCACACCAATCCATGAGCTGGAGGCAATGTCTGACCCCTAGAGCTTGAGCCTTCAAAAGGAAGACAAGGTGCTTATCCTAACACACACAAAATTTAAATGCATGAACAACAACCCCATGCTCAGAATAGCAAATAATCTAACTAAAAACTGTCTGAAAAGAAACCATCTATCAGAACTGTACTACACAAAAAACAGTGACATCCTTTCTAAAGATCCTTCAACATTGGAAATTATCCAGGCATAGACAGAAAGGCTGAAGAATGTGACCTAGTACTGCATGCAAAGACCCTTGAACATGTCTACAATTATTATCCAAAACCTGAATGGATACATTTACACCAATATATCATTGGAGGGAGTAGAAAAAAACAAAGGAGCTGATCAATCATCATGCTGCAAGATGGGACCACAGTAGAAACGTCATTTGGCTCTGGACACTCTCAACAAACTTTAGAGCAGCAAGTAATTATTGATTCAGCCAAAGTGCTTGAGGAAAGCAAAATTAAAAATAGCAAAATTGTTTTCCTTTTTGACTGCATGTCAGTCCTTTCTGGTGACTCACAGGGATCCACAAGACAACATGGAAAGAGAACTGACCCTCCAGATGAACAGACTGGCAGGGATTAGTAAACCAACTGCTCCTTTACAAGCATGTCAAGTGAATATCAAAGCCTAACCCTAAACCATACAAGTTGACCATCCTTTTAAGGGTGAATACAGGAGAAGAAGTAAAATTAGTTTTACTTTTATACATTTTCAAGTTACAGCTTTGCTTTGAAATGTTTGAAGATGTATTATATTATGATTCAGGTATCTTGAGAACTCCATTTCCTCACTAACCTCAGAGCCACAGCTGGTTAGTTACATCAAACTTTTGAGGGAAACCATTTGGCCACAGGGACAGCTGTGGTCAAACTCACACACAGTTAAAACTGAAGATCAGAGGGCAGCAACAACAGAAAAAGCAAAACAGTGTCTCATCAACTTCTTCCCAGGTAATTGTTGCACCTGAAGTGCTATATTTATTGCCAGGTGGTTAAGCAGTGGTGACTTAAGGATAGACTTTTAGCCAGTCACGGCCATCTCCAGATTTATAAGGCCGTACAGCACGAATGGGATTTCCCGTTCTTGTGCAAGAATTGAGTCCCTCTGCGTCCACACATTTTATCGAGGAGATGTATATGCAAATTAAACTTCAGTTTCATTAACTTTCGACATATTTTTTAGAACTATACGTCATTTTTAAAGTAAATAAGTGTGCAGAATAAATATAACAATAAAGGCTCTTACAGACAAACGAAAATGCTTTTGCTACATTCAACATGAACATAATCATCAATAACGTTTAGATGTAAACTAAAAGTTGTTCCAGCAAAAGTAAAGAAATATCAGTGCTAACTCTTTGTTTCTGAGAGGGTATTGTTGCATCAGAGAAGGGGGAGGAGGGGCATTTGTACTTTATCAAATTTAGCACATAAAAATACTGCTATGAAACATACACATATCATACATAAATATAAATAATTGATGGTTATTATTATTGTTAGTAGACTACTACAACATTTAACTATACTGTTATTTAATAATCAGTAAACAAGCACAATCAGTATGAAATTGATATGTGCAATACTTTTTTCACCCAGAGTAGTTTTCTTAACAGTACTTAAAGCAGTACTAAATATGTATCCTCAAGGTACAAACAGCACAAACAAATTTGTCCAGTTTCATCTTGTTGGATGAAATCAATTCCTTATCATTCCGAATTTTTTGGTAACAAATATTCATAGGAAGTGAATGAATAACCAGAAGTTTCCGCACGAGTTTGCAGCCAGTGTTCGCGAAGCAAAGCAAAAGCCAGTTTACAAAAATTAACACAGACTGTAGAACTGCAAAAATGCAAAAGAAGTAGATGAACTACCAAAAGTTTCCGCAAGAGTTTACAGCCAGTGTTCGCGAAGCATAAGTCAAATGGTTAAGGATTAATATTATTAGTGTACTGCTACAACATATAATTATACTGTTAGTCAACAATTAGTAAAGAGGTTAAGAGTGATTTGCTGTGAGAGGTTAGTTAGTAAATTAAATATTATTTTCATCCACTTACCTAGAGCTCTGAAATATCTTGACACAATTTATCCACAGTGTGGTTGCACCATTTATGCACAGTCAATATAAGAGCAATAGTTTTCTTCACACACAAGATAGTTTGCACCTGACAACTGTCGATATTCTCCAGATATGGCTTCTAAATTACCTGTTTGTATTATCCCTAAAAGTAAGTTTTCTACATTTAAAGTAGAAAAGTAACATACAGCCAGTTCCCAAAAATCAGAACTACTGACTAGAAACAGTGACACTGACACACACATAACAACACAACTGTCTTCCGTGAATCAAAATTAAAATTAAAATTGCTGTATATCCACTTCACAATATCCATTTGTAGATTTGTAATACGAATACGTTTAGAACACAGGACTTTGTAAGCATATTAATATGTCACACAATGCAACATGGAAACGCTCCCAGTAACCTATTTTCGAGGGGGACTTCTCCAAAATGTACCATGATTCAGTTGTCAGGACTGACATATGCAGCCGGACGTGAGCCAGTCATGATTAAAATAGAATATAACTGGGTTACTTGGTAAAACGGCAACAATATTGAAATATAATTGTGATAGGTCCAAAGATTAGCCATAAGACTTTAAAAAGAAACATTTGTAATAAGGCTTCAGCTCATTTATTTCTGCTCCAGGTTTCAGAGCCATTTAAGATAAGATAACTGAATCTTTAATCTGAATCTGAAGATAAATACAGAAACTGTACAGTGACATGTTATGACTGCTTTAAATACAACATTGGGTGGAGGTGATTGCAATTTATTATTTGAGATTGACTGTTGCTGTTCTGAATATACTGGTTATTAGGAGCTCTAGTTATTTCTGTTTGTATACTATATGTGATTTTAGTAGCAAAATTATGTACAAAGTTGTTTGTCTAATTCAAACTGTTAATGAGTATTACTTAATTTTGTTGATCAAAGGTGCAGTGCAATTGCTTTTCACTCATCTGTTATCTTCCTTATGAAAGAATTCATTTCTATTTATGTGTTTTCCATTTTCAGCAGTAATGCATGCATAACTGCTGATTTATTGTAACTATTGTTTCCATCGTTCCATCACCAGTGAAATGTAGTGGCAAAATATTTGTTTTGACACTTCTCATGGCTGCCTTTTGCTTTTAATGCATGCATATGCTGTTTACCTTTGTCAAATGGTGGGGATTATGAAGTTCTGCTTCACAGGAACAGAGCAATTATGGGGCGACCTATTTGCTGGAACAGAGACTGACAAATTAATTTCTGACATTGTTTTCTGCTGATCATCTTGTAAACTGTTTAACCCAAATATTAACTGTTTATTTTCCCAGTTTCCTTGAGATTGGTGATAGGATACCAAGAGTTTGACAAAATGATTTCAGATTTTCTCAGCAGCCTTAAAAGTGAGAAACTTAACAGGTAAAGAATAAAATCAGTAAAAACTTTATAAAGCATATTATCTCTTCTTATTCCGTGTTTATTTGTTTATCCTTAAAGAAAATATTGGTTCCATTATGTCCATTTACAACATTGCTTAGCTTCAATAAACTGTGAGCCTTTTGGCCAGCACACAGTGCATAATTTAAGTATGAGCATGTCGCCTTTTCTCTTTCCAACATTCTACATGTATTTTCTAGTGAGTAGGGTTTATAATCTATGCAGTCTTGCCAAGGCAGTTACCTACATGCCTACTCTTTATGATTTCCAACTGCAATGAGATTTTTAATATGCAGGCTTCAAATGTAATTTGTTTTGTTGGGGTGGAGGGTGGATAAATCAGGTTGTCCAGATAGAGATACTTCTGAACTAGTTCCAAGATCTTTCAACTTTTAATATTTTTTAAATATAATAATTTTTATAATAATTGTAATCTTGTTTTTTTTTTTGGCACTACCATATTTGGACAGACATGAATGCTTACCTCAGCTTTAGCTTTCTGACACATATTTTCATACCAAATTAACTGTCTCAATATGTAGAAATGTGGAATAGTTTAGATTATTTTTCTGTTCTTTCTGTGATAGCTTGAACATCTACAAACTAGATGACACAAATTTGCTCCCCATTTATTTTAATCCTCATGTGTCGTTTTCCATAATCCTCTGCAAATAAAAAAAAAATAGTCATTAGGATATTAAATATCCTAATATCATGTGTCGTTTTCCATAATCCTCTGCAAATAAAAAAAGAAATAGTCATTGGGATATTAAATATCCTTATATCACACATTGTCTGGGACTTTAGTTATTCCCACTGTCTGCTGCATTCACTATTTGGTTATTCTGCAAGCTAGTAATCAGTTAACAGTTGGCTTTTTTTAAAACTTTGAGTTGCTCCAAAATTGACCAAATATTGTTTCCTGCTTCCTTCAAAGTTGCAGCACATCTGCCTGAGAGACCAAGAGTCTGCATACTGTGGAAATGGAAAGGTGGATTCAGGCTTTTGAATGTAAATGCAACAGACGCATTTTACGAATTAGTTATTTAGAACACAAAACTTATCAATATATTGGACACAAAATATACAAATTTGCGGGACATCAAGAGCCTCTCTTGGCAGAGGTGAAAAGTCGCAAGCTAGCTTGGTTTGGGCAGGTAGTGAGACCTGGTTTGATTGCAAAGACTGAACTTCAAGGAACATTGAACTGCATTGAACTTTTTTGCTATTGGTATCATTACAAATGTAAAATTGACCTGGGCTCCTAGGTGACTTGCATTGATAAAATTGAATAGTAAATCAACTTCTCTGGCATTTAGTTAGTTGAAATTGAGGAAAGTGCCATTATCAGATTCCTCTTTTATTGTTGGTAGATTATTTTCCTCTTTACAAAAAAAAAAAAAATGTTACATGAAGTAAAATGTGTGGAAATTATCACATTAAATAAATTGTATAGGTTTGTCATGTTAGTTAAGGTGTATTGATTTCATTGCAGACATATTCTCTACATTATACTGGATATGCTGGTAGAGCAACTTTTCCCGGAGGTCACAAGCCACGATCTTCTGCAAGGACTTTTCTTTTCAAGATCACGGAGCACATATTTACCATAACTGCACATCAGCTAGAGAGCCAGAAATTGTATAGAGTAGGATGTAATGGCTGTTGCATTAACAATGTATGTAGATCCCAGTGTTTGGAGAGGGTTGAGTTCTGCCAGAGTTGGAACATGGCGCCCACAAGACACCACAGTGTCAAGGAGGATAGTTGCCCTTTTACCTTCAAGGTTTCTGAAAGGAAGAACAAACATTCTGAAGATTACTTCTTCTTCACTTCCTCTTTTACTGCTTTGTGTGTCGATGGAGATATAAGGTGCTGCTTCTTGCTCTTCTGGCTGCCTCGACCATAGACGTTTCGTGCTGTTTTACAGTTTCTCTGATGTTATCGTTCCATTTTGTTCTTTGGTCTACCTTGTGCTCTCGGACCTTCTCCTCTCTAGATGTATGTCTTTTGTGGGTATGGCATCACATGGCTTTCTCTCTGAATGGGCAAACCATTTGGTTAACTGTCTTTTTATGTAATTTAGAATTAGTTCTGTGCCAGCTTGTTTTCTTATGACCTCATTCCTGATTTTATCTCTTCTGGTCCATCCTGCAACCCTTCTCAGATATCTTATTTCTTTGGTTAAAAATTTTCTTTTCTGGTTTGTTGTGAACGACCATATTTGGCACTGATGGCAAAGGGTAGGAATGAAGACTACTGTATGTTAATATTTAAATGAAATAATGTGACTGTAATTTATTATTTGAGATTAACTACTGATGTAATGAATATACTGGTTTTTAGGAGCTCTAGTCATTTCTGTTTACATATATGTGATGTTAGTAGCAAAATTGTGTACACAGTTGTTTCTGTATATCTGTGCTAATGATTATCACATGGTTTTGTCTGTTGAATGAGCTGCTTTTCATTCACCTGCACTTGGTGGTCCCGTGAGGTCAAATTCATGACAACAAGCCCCAAGTGTTGACCCAGCTTCATTAAATATGTACCATATTTTTTCTGTGGTGAAGCTATTGGCCAGTACTAACCTAATTATACCTCAAATGTTGTTTGGTCAAGGAAATATGGGCCAAGTATAATATCCTCATTATACCATGTAAGCATAAAAACAAAGTCCTTAAATTTACTATTTCTGTTGGAAATAAAAAAAAACTTTATCTGATAGTAAAAAATGTGTGATATATACACTGGAATATAAACTGTGTTCGCTACTATAAGCTTTTCAACACACGCCACTGAACACACGTTACTGAAGGATTATCACCATCACCCTTAGGACAGACTCCTATGCGCTCAGTCTCCTTTTGCAAAAAATAACATGCAGAAATGCTGTTTTCAAAACACATTGAGTAAAAATATATATGCTATGCATGATTCTGCTTGGTGCTGCCATATTTAATAACAGATTCCAAAAGCAGGGGAGTTGTCATTCACCATCCTTTATTTTACAAATGCATGAGAATTATGGTTATTGTGTTTACCACTTGCAGTGAAACAAAATAATAATAGCGATTTAGTTTATTGCAGCAGATTAAAATAATCCCCCCCCCCCCCCCCCCTTTTTTTCCCCATTGGCCACCTCTTTTAAACAGGCAAGTTACCTTGTTGTCTTCCCTATGGATTCCAGTTATCGTTTGGTGTGATTTCTCCTTTGTATTTTCAAATAAAACAGTCAGTGACATTTAGGACTGAATGTCTGTGTCACTCTACAGTAGCTTGTCAGATATGCACAAAAGCCAGCTGATTCAGTATTTTCTTAAAACATGCCTGTGTGCATTTTTATTTTTTTTTATTTTGAAACAAAATTCTTTGCTGCTTGAGATGAAGCTATGAAGCTTCCAAAGCTGAAGTGACTAGACACAGTTAGTTTTATGTAACCGTTTTTGATGTAATTAAATGTGAGTAGATTATTGCAGATTAGCACGGTAAAGTTGGTTTGAATCTATGAAACCTAAATATTTGCCACTTTTTAACTTATGAATTAAAATATTTTAAAGTATACTTAGCTATATTTATATTACCTAGCAGACATAAGATGGTAAACAACATAATAATTTTTACCAGCATGACTCTTATCTCTCCCCTATTTATTGAAAAGTTGTTTAATCTAACAAACATTCTGGTTTCTTTTATTATTCTACACAGTGTTTGTTAATGTTAATAGTATATGATTTATGATTTCTGACATTTCCTATCTGCTATTTTGCTTGTTTATTTCTACCCAGAATTGCATGATCCCAGTGATTTTTTTTTTTCCCCTTAATCTCAAGAATTTGATTTTTTAGATTTGCTGGAGTTATTTTAGTAACTTTTCTGCCTCAAAGAAGTAAATTTACAGTGGACTGAATATATTTATGCATGACATTTGTTCTCGTAATTTGTATTTTTGAGTTTATGAAGTTTATTAAATTAAAAATGAAAGTCACTGTTATAAATGAAAGCCGTGATACATTAGTTTTATATGAATGAAATATTTCAGTAATGAAATTGGTTGATATAACGATAATAGTGTGTTAATGAATTAGTTGAGGATCCACTGTCTAAGCAGTTAAGATTGTTATTTCCAGGTTTAAATCCTCAGTAAGGTGGTGGATGTTTCTGTTGGGTGCAAAAACCAAATTGTAACCTGTACAGACCATGGCAACTGCACTGACTGTGTTGCCCTACATCCCCAGTCTCAATGCTCCCTCTCCCCGCTTTGAACTACACCATCCTTAATAATTGGTAATCAGTACAGTTGCTTGTTAACTTGTTGACATGCGTGTTGATATCTAAGCACATGAATATTTATTGATGACTGCCTTGTTGGCTGTGATGTTCTGCTTAATTCTATGTAATTTTGGGTATGTTTTCTTTCTGTTTGTGCCATATCTGCAGTGAATTTGGCTGCAGTGGATATGTGCAGTCACTGCTGTCTGTGAGAACATTATCTGCAGAGGTCTCAATCTCTTCCACAGTATGATTCTAGTACCACAGTATGATACTAGTACCACAGTATGAAGGCAGAGATAATAACCTTTTTGTTTGGAACCACCTGCTGCAGAAATCAAACCTTAATATATGGGTCAGAGCTACCCTGGATGTGACTGAAAAGAAATCATAAAGCATGAGACCAGTTTTGTGTAGCAGAATTGTATGTTCTCTGTCTCAAGAAACCACAGTAAAACAGAAGCTAGTGTACTTACTTGTATTTGAATCTCTGTTGAGGCAGGTATTTCTCCTTCTGCATTCAGGGCAGGTGGCAAATTATGTTGTGGTTTACAACTAGCCTGCCATGTTTGCACCCTAATGCTCAACACATCTAATTTCATCAGAAACATACTTAGTCACCTTTGACATCATGCTTGCTAGCGGGCAGTGCATCTGTTTTGTTTACCTCCCTAAACATTGGGCCTCAGAATTCACATGGGGAAGACAAGCTATTTCTAAATTTGTTGACCTGTACTAAGATGGGTACCAGGAAATATTCTGGAAAGTAATGGAGATAAGCCGGATTGTTGACATCATCACTTGTCAAGTGCTAATTGGTTCATTGGGTGCTCCAAATGTACTTTAATGCTTCTACCCTGAAAACATGTCAAAAAAGAGGTTATGAACCTGGGAATTCCTGAATAAAATCTTTTAAAATCCACCATATTAACACAGGTCATAAAAAAAATGATAAGTGTGTATTTATATATGTACATAAACACATACACATGCATGCATGCATGTACACACACACACACACACACGCACGCACGCACGCACGTGTGTTTTGGGAAAATGTGAAGAAAGTAATCAATACATGTAAACAGAGTTAAGAATTAAGTGGATAAAATATGTGTCTGGTGACTCATCCCATGTCCCTCTGATCTCATTGCAAATAATGACCTCAGATTGGCTTTAAAACTGCCATTTTGTTCACAAAACCCCACCGCCATACAGTCAGACTCTGCACATGAATATTTATTGATGACTGCCTTGTTGGCTGTGATGTTCTGCTTAATTCTATGTTTGTGCCATATCTGCAGTGAATTTGGCTGCAGTGGATATGTGCAGTCACTGCTGTCTGTGAGAACATTATCTGCAGAAGTTGCACAGATGCCATTTATACATTGAGACAACTATCAGAGAGAGCAATAGAACACGATAAGACATGTTTGTTGACATTCATAGACCAAGAAAAAGCCTTTGATAGAGCCGACAGGAATATGTTGTAGGAATGTATAGGGAAAAAGGGAATCAGCAATCATCTCTTTAATATTTGCAAAATCCTGTACACACTTAGTAAATGCTGCATAAAATTGAAGGCAGGATTGTCAAGAACTTTTTTAGTGAATTCTAGTGTGCGTCAGGGCTGTGTACTATCGCCGCTTCTTTTTATAACATACATGGATACCGTATGTAAGGAAACCAATTTTAATCATGAAGAAGATATTACAGAATTACTAAGGGGAGGAATATAATATGAAAAACACTACAAAGACAGAGATAATGGTGATGGGAAGACAGAAAGACAATTTAAAAAATAAAATTAAAAAAACAACACCTTAAGGCAAACAGAGGAATTTAAGTATTTGAGAGCAATTTTCACATCCGAAGGAAAACTGGACAGAGAAATTAGCCCCAGATGTGCCAAAGCTAATCAAATAATAGGGCAACTATATTCCCTGTTGACACACAAGCGAATACCCCGGAGTACTAAAGTGAATCTTATCAAAACTATTTTTTTGGCCAACACTATGCTATCAATGCCAACTGTGGACACTTACATCCTCCAGTGAATGTAAAATTGGGACAGCAAAGATGAAATGCCTTAGAAGAGCTGCAGGAGTTTCAAGGAAAGTCAGAATATGAAATCAGATGAATGCTAGGAATAAAGCCAGTCTTACAGGTCATCAAAGAACAACAAATGAAGTGATTTGGACACCTAACAAGAATGCCCTGGTACTTTCTGCCACAGCAAGTCACACTGAAACGTTACAATGGGTATAGAGTGAGTGGAAGACCTAGGAAAATATGGAATGATGGCATAAAGAACAGCCTTACAGAAATAAACATCAGTCTT